TATGGTATTACGTAGGAATTGCCATGAAATATTGACTATTGACACATTTTTTCTGTTCTCATTTCTAGTGTTGCCATTTTTTATTTTTCAGTACGTCTATATTGAAAAATTCGAAATTTTGAATAAATCTAATTGGTCACTCTTTTAGAATCAAGATTATTCAAATTTCAGGGTTTATTTCTTCAGTTTTCATTTCTAGTGTACTTTTTAACATATGCATATTGAACAAATTCAGAATTTTTAATGTATTTATATGGTCACTCTTTTAGAATGAAGATTATTCCAATTTCAGTGTTCATTTCTTCAGTTTTCATTTCGAGTGCTGCTATTCTTTCTTTTTTCATACATTTGTACTCACTATTATTCGAAATTTTGAATGCATTTATATGATCACTCTTTTAGAATCAACATTATTCAAAATTCAGGGTTCATTTCTTCAGTTTACATTTCTAGTGTCCTTACTTTTGAATATATTTATATTCAAAAATTCGAAATTTTGAATGCATTTACACGGTCATTCCTTTAGAATCTAGATTATTCAAAATTCAGTGTTCATTTCTTCAGTTATCATTTTAGTGTCCTTTTTAACATTTTTATATTGAAAAAATTCGAAATGCACTTACATAGTCACTCTTTTAGAATGACGATTATTAAAAATTCAGTGTTCATATCTTCAGTTATCATTTCAGTATCCTTTATAACATTTTTATGTTGAGAAAATTCGAAATTTTTTGCATTTTCTTTTTAAGATATTTATATTCAAAAAATTCGAAATGCATTTACATAGTCATTCTTTTAGAATGAAGATTATTCAAAATTCAGTGTTCATATCTTCAATTATCATTTTAGTATCCTTTATAACATTTTTATATTGAGAAAATTCGAAATTTTTTGCATTTTCTTTTTAAGATATTTATATTCAAAAAATTCGAAATGCATTTACATAGTCATTCTTTTAGAATGAAGATTATTCAAAATTCAGTGTTCATTTATAGTGTCCTTACTTTTAAATATATGTATATTCAAAAATTCGAAATTTTGAATGCATTTATATGGTCACTTTTTTAGAATGAAGATTATTCAAATTTCAGGGTTCATTTCTTCAGTTTCCATATGTCATGTCATGTACCTACTTAGCTCTATGTTACGTAACTGTTAGGTTATGACCTTGTAACAAACGTTACGTTATTTGCTAGTTTTAGGTTATGTAACTGTTAGGTTTGGTGTTCAGTGGGAAACCGATTGTCGTAGATAACTCGTATTTCCGGAGGTTGATTTCTGAAATCCAAGGAACAGATCGACCGAGGTGGAGAGTCCATCTATGTGATAATCAGTATCCGCCATCTTGGCAATTATTGGTGCCGATTTAGTTTACAGTTTGCGGGGCTATACAAGACACGTCTTATATTACCTGACGAGAAGGCTTTAGGAAATTCGACCGGCCTTAAAGTTTACCTTTAACTTTTCATCCCTTCACGTGTCAAATTCCATCCGTGCGAGTCACGTTTCGCCATTTCCCACTTTTTTATTATTAACTTTGGAAGGGATAAGGAAGTTGGACCTTTCGGGAATATCGCAATGAGATGTTATAACTTTGCAATATTTTTATTTACTACGTGGTTCATCTGAGCTTGCTGCAATTTTTGCTTTTTTCGAAATTTATTTCTTTCGAAGTTCTGTTTTTTTCGAAGTTTAGTTCTTTCGAAAACTTTCGTCTTTTAGAAAGGTTTTGTACTTTTGGAAATTTATTTCTTTCGAAGTTTTGTTTTTTCGAACACTTTTGTCTTTTAGAAAGGTTTTGTATTTTTGGAAATTTATTTCTTTCGAAGTTTTGTTTTTTTTCGAAATGTATATCTTTCGAAGTTTTGTTTTTTCGAACACTTTTGTCTTTTAGAAAGGTTTTGTATTTTTGGAAATTTATTTCTTTCGAAGTTTTGTTTTTATCGAAATTTATTTCTTTCGAAGTTTTGTTTTTATCGAAATTTCTTTCTTTCGAAGTTTTGTTTTTTTCGAAATTTATATCTCAGTTTTGTTTTTTTCGGAATTTATATCTCGGTTTTGTTTTTTTCGAAATTAATATCTTTCGAAGTTTTGTTTTTTCGAGAACTATTGTCTTTTAGAAAAGTTTTGTATTTTTCGAAATTAATTTTTTTCGAAGTTTTGTTTTTTCGAAAATTTTTGTCTTTTAGAAAAGTTTCGTATTTTTTGAAATGTATTTCTTTTCGACGTTTTGTTTTTTCGAAATTTCCATCGATTTCGATTTTTTGGGTCTTAAAAATACTTAACAATTATTTTACTTATGTAGAAATAAAACTAATAAAATTGCTGCAATGTTGATATAGGACGTCGAAGTAGCTACGGTTAATAATTCTTTTTTAAATAAATGCAAAATTAATCAATTCTGGTTTTAAAAATACGTAACAAATATTTGACTTGTGTAGAATAAAAATAATAAAATTGCTGCAATGTTGACATAGGATGTCGAAGTAGCTATGGTTAATAATCGATTTCTGCCTCGTTTTAGGACGTGCTTTGATTTTTCCTCTTTCTCCTGTCAGTAGAAATCTGGGTCGGATAAAAAAAAAAGTATTGCGCATAGAGGGATGATTAATAATCGAGTTTTAATACCGACGTCAGGCGATCGGAAACAGATTAGCTGCAGATGTGCTTCAATTGTTCTTTTATTACCGAGCGAGAATAATGGAAACCCTTAAATAAAATAATAGATTTGAAATTTATGGCGGCACTTTTTTTCACGTGATTTTCGAATCGATTAGACCCTAGTAGCCCAAAACAATTGTCTTATATTTTTAACATATTTATCGAATATCGTATATTTTGTAAATATTTAATATTTACCAGATATTTCAAATAGTTGCAAAATATTTTCAAATTTATGGCGGCATTTTTTTTTCACGTGATTTTCAAATTTAATTATACCCCAGTAGCCGAAAATATTTGTCTTTTATTTTCAACATATTTACAGAATATCGTACATTTTGTAAATATTTACCAAATATTTGATATAGTTGCAAACCATTTTCGAAAATGTGGCGACACTTTTTTTCACGTGATTTTCGATTTCGATTGGACCCCAGTGGTCCAAAATATTTATTTTTTATTTTCAACATATTTACAGAACATCGTACACTTTGTAAATATTTACCAGACATTTAGAATATTTTCAAAACATTTTCGAATTTAAGGCGGCNTTTTAATCTCGATCTATTTCATTGTTCAACGATACTGATAAACAATGTTTATACATCGCGTCAATGGAAAATATATATTTTCAACAAATCTCTTCCGAAATTTTCAGCCAAATTAATTAAAAAATTCAAATTAATTTTCAGTTCCTTATTCTCGATCCCGACTAACCAATTGTTAACGAAATAGTGCATTTCATAGGATCCTTTTACCCCAATGTTTAAACAAAATACTGCATTTCGTAAATAGTGCACTTGTCCGAAAAAAATGATTTTAAATTCCATCGTCATAATGAGAAATTCACAAAAAAAGCTTTAGAAGAACCGACAACCTTCTTCATGCAAGTTTTCCGGATAACAATGCGATCCGTCGAGGTCTTTCCGCAAAACCGCATGCCTCACGTCCGGTCCGGAACGGCCGCATAATACGACTCCACCCTTAGTAACTCACCCCTTGCACTCGGATGCACATGTATTCGAGAAATGCACTCAAGTGCACTCCTTGAACACCGATGTCTCTGTTCGAACATGCATACTGATTAATTAACTCCGTGTCCTAATTAATAATCGATAGTCTCTAACTCACGTAGGAGGGTGAATACCTTATCGAAGGTAAGGGATTACTGGGGAGTGAATCGTGAAATTGGGATAAACTGATTCTAATTATTTCTCTTGTTCATTTCTTGTTCATTTATTATTCATTTTTTATTTGTTTTTTGTTCATTTGTTATTCATTTCATATTCATATCTTGTTCATTTATTATTCATTTCTTGTTCACATCTTATTCATTTTTTATTCGTTTCTTGTTCATTTGTTATTCATTTCTTATTTATTTCTTGTTCACATCTCATTCATTTTTTATTCGTTTCTTGTTCATTTGTTATTCATTTCTTGTTCATTTATTATTCATTCCTCTTATTAATTCCTCAAAGTAGGATTTTTTCTTGGCTGATCATTATTTTCAGATACTACTTACCGTGCATTACCATTGTTCCTACTGAAACTCCTCGTCTGATGTATAGACACCGTTTTCACTTACTCAATTCTTAAAAAGACTCTCAAAAAATATTATTTAATATTTCTACACTTTGTTACATGCGTTGGAAACAATTTCCAGACTATAAATAGTATTTTTTCTTGTCTGACGATTATTTTCCGGTACTACTTACCGTCCATTACCAACGATACTATTGCAACTTTTTATTATATGCCATCACTCAGAAAAAAAAAGGAAAATTATAATAAGCAAATGAAAAGCGATTGAATTTCATTATGAAATATTTTGGAGACGATTTAAAAGCTCTACCCCTTTGGATATATTTTCCCCTATAAAAAAATGAAAATAGTATTACAATAGAAAGTTAAGTATCGCACTCGTGAGGATAAATCAAATAATAAAAAAATGAAAAGCGATTGAATTTCATTATGAAATATTTTGGAGACGATTTAAAAGCTCTACCCCTATATTTCCACCAATAAATAAATTAAAATAGTGATACAATTGATAGTTAAACATCGCCCTCTGGAGAGGATAAATAAAAAACGAAGCAAATAAAAAGCGATTGAATTTCATTATGAAATTGTTTGGAAATGATTTAACACTTTGCACTCGAGAGATGACTGGCAACTGGAATGGCAAAGTCCTCGAGTGCAAAGGGTTAAAGCTCTTTCGATATATTTCCACCCATAAATAAATTAAAATAGTAATACAAATGAAAGCTAAGTATCGCACTCTGGAGAGGTTAAGCCTTATTTACGATCTAATTCAAGCTGTTTACTCTTTCTCGTTCCAGTTGTGGTGATGTGCGCCAACTCGTCGACCATCAGGGAAATCCTCTTAGCAGCCGAGGAACTCGGAATGGTAGATTCTGGCGAATACGTCTTCTTCTCCATAGAACTAACTTCCAGGTGAGCTAATTAATCGTGAACACCGAATTATTTCGATTCCTCTTAAGTTATGAACTTAATAAAGTTTCGTAGGAGGCGAAACCTTCCTTAGAGCTTTCATGTTCATGTGGTAAAGTTTCGAATCATTCCGTACATTCAATTCCGTGAAAAGTTACATAAACGATTGAGTTTTCGGATGTCGCTTCCACATCACCTTAAGTGACATTTTCAGCATGAACGTCATAGATTACAATGTCCACGTTGAAAAGTTTTGGATGATTCGATGCACCCAGTTCGTGGAAAAGTTCCGTGAACGATTGAGTTTTCGGATGTCGCTTTCACATCACCTTAAGTGACATTTTCAGCATGAACATCACAAACTACAATGTTCACGTTGAAAAGTTTGAGATGATTCGGTGCGCCTAGTTCGTGGAAAAGTTTGACAAACGATTGAGTTTTCCGATGCAATTTCCACATCACCTTAAGTGACATTTTCAGCATGAACATCACAAACTACAATGTTCACGTTGAAAAGTTTGAGATGATTCGATGCGCCCAGTTTGTGGAAAAGTTCCATGAACGGTTTAGTTTTTGGATGTCGCTTTCACATCACATTAAAAGTGCGACTTCGCGTGACGTTTTCAGAATGAACATCACAAACTGCAATGTTCATGTTGAAAACTTTGAGACGATTCAGTGCATCCAGTTCGTGGAAAAGATTACGAACGATTGAGTTTTCGGATACCACTTTTATATCGTCTTAAGAGTGCGACTTCTTGTGACATTTTCAGCATGATATATTACAATGTTACAATATTATATTATAATATATATTACAATTACATAATATATTACAATGTTCATGAAGAAAAGATTGCGACGATTCGGTGCATCCAATTCGTGGAAAAATTTCACGAACGATTGAGTTTTCGGGAGCCACTTTCCCATCACCTTAAGAGTGCGACTTGTGACGTTTTCAGCATGAACATCACAGACTAAAATGTTCATATTGACGATTCGGTGCACCCAGTTCGTGGAAAAGTTTAATGAACGATTGAGTTTTCGGATGCCACTTTCACATCACCTTAAGAGTGCGACTTCTCGTGACGTTTTCAGCATGAACATCACAGACTGAAATGTTCATATTGACGATTCGGTGCACCCAGTTCGTGGAAAAGTTTACGAACAATTGAGTTTTCGGATGCCACTTTCCCATCACCTTAAGAGTGCGACTTGTCGTGACGTTTTCAGCATGAACATCACAGACTGAAATGTTCATATTGACGATTCGGTGCACCCAGTTCGTGGAAAAGTTTGACGAACGATTGAGTTTTCGGATGCCTCTTTCACATCAAGTTAAGTGACATTTTCAGTATGAACATCAACTAACAATGAAAGAGATTCGTCGCGACGAAAATCCACGGCCGATTCTCTTTTCTCCTGGGATAACCCGAACGCGTCCCACGGGAAAGCGGTCCCATTAACCTTCCCCATCATTTTCCTTTTTTTTTAAATCCCACGTCCCGTCACTCCTTCATCCCCCTGTGGGAAAATCGGGCGCACGTAGGGAGCTTCTGTAGATTTTCCGTGATTTTCCGCAGACTACAGGCTCGTTCATTTTTATTAGACCGCGAGATTCGACGACGACCTCTCTCCTCACCTGCGAGCTTTCAGGGCTTTTTTCCCTTTCTGGCTCACGTATAGGTATCCTTCTCATTTCCGGTTCATTAAATGAAGACGTATCCGCTGTGTTTCCCGATCCTGGGTTGAAACTCCAGGAAGGAGAAAATTGAGAGTGGCGTTTGTCTTTTGAATTTCACAGAGGAAATCGGGGGATGAGTGTGGTCCTGATAATCCTTTTATAAGACGATATTAAGGTGAAGTTGATTTGAATAAGGATAATTGGGGGATGAGGACAGTTTCGTCCTGTTAATCCTTTTATAAGACGATCTTAAGGTGAAGTCGAGTCCTTTCATAACGCGATCTTAAGGGAAGTCGAATGCTTTTATAACGCGATCTTAAGGTGAAGTCAAGTCGAAAAAGAAAACCGAGGAACGAGGACAGTTTCGTCCTGATAATCCTTTAACAACGGGATCTTAAGGTGAAGTCGAATCCTTTTATAACGCGATCTTAAGGTGAAGTCGATTCGAAAAAGCAAGTCGAAGGACGAGGACAGTTTCGTCCTAATAATCCTTTTTTATGCAATATTAAGGTGAAGTCAAGTCCTTTTATAACGCGATCTTAAGATGAAGTCGAATCCTTTTATAACCCGATCTTAAGGTGAAGTTGATTCGAAAAAGGAAATCCAGGGATGAGAACAGTTTCGTCCTGACAATCCTTTTCTAACAAGACCTTAAGGTGACACGAAAGGGTCATTTTATATGTATCGAAACGTATTTAATTTTCTATATCATGTTCCGTCTATACCTAAATAATGGCGCGGGACATCGGATTTATATTCGATCGGGCAACTGGCCATTAAATTCAGGCCCTTCGAGACCGGAAACTGCAAATCTCAAGCACTTTGCTCGAGTTTGGAGAACCGGGAAGAGGAATCGCAACTGTGGCTTAATTCCTCGATGTAAACCACGACGTCGTCGCTTCGATCTAGCGCTATGCAAAGTGTCGGAAATCCGCTTTCAAAACAGCCTTAACTTGCCAAAGTGGATTAAGGAGACAAGTTTACACCGTGCAGATTATTTCCTGAAACTCCTAGAGGTTCTGATTATCCGTGGATATATATTTCATTTCTTTAAGGTGAAGATATTACATTTTTATAACAAAATTTGAAAATATCTATAAACAAAATTGTTTGAAAATTGAAATTTTCTCGCTGTGAAGATTTTAATTCTAACCTCCATATCCATATTGTGAAGTTTGAAACCGAATTGGTAATTCTAATTTGGAGGAAAGTTTCATAAACGAGATCTTNTAAACAAATTATTAAAAAATTGAAATTTCATGGCGGTCGGGATCTTATGGTATCCGAATCGCATTGTAAAGCTTGAAACGAGTTCATAAAAAGTTTGGAAAAAGGGAACCACTTTCATATCACCTTAATCCCTCGGTGTAAACAATGTCGTCGCCTCGATCTATCGCTGAATTTTCTAAAATCTGTTTCACGGATTAGGAAAACGCGATTGTATCATGCAGAGTATTTCCTGGGATTCCGGGGGCGATTTATTATCTGTGGATATTTCATTTTTTTAAGTCGCCTTAGCTCAGGGTGCTCCTCGTTCATGAATTCATGAATAATTTATCGGAGCGGAAGATCTTCCTTGAAAACTGCGTCTCCGGAAGACATTCGTTTGGTTGAGACTTGTTTTACAAATTGTCTTTGTGCTCACTTCGCGGAGCATCTTATTTAATGAATTAAGGTGATATGAAAACGACATTCTACATATATGAAATGTCAAACTATTTATAAAACTTTTATATAAACTGAGTGCACCGTATCATTTGAAACTTCATTATGTGATTATGAAGGCAATAAGAAAGAACGCGAATATCATGAAATTTCATTTTTTCATTTTATTTAATATATTAAGGTGATATGACAGCGACATTCTACATATATGAAATATCAAAATATTTATAAAACTTTTCTATAAACTGAGTCCATTGAATCTTTCGAAATTTCATTATGTGATCATGAAAGCCCTAAGGAAGAACGTGTATGAAATTTGAAGAATTTGAATATGAAGAACGGCTTATGAAATTTCATTTTTAATACAAATTTTTTGCATTTATTCCAGGCTAGAACTAAGAATGCATTTTTCCTGGGAAAAATGAAAATTCATCAGCATCGTGTTCTTCCTTAGAACCTCCATAATCAGATAATGAAGTTTCAAATAATTCGGTGTACTCGGTTTTCAGAAAAGTTTAATAAATGTTTTGAGGTTTCTTATATATAGAATAACCTTTTCATACCACTTTAAGGCGTGATAAATTTCATTAATAATTTTACGCTTTACATATATAGAATGACCTTTTCATATCCCCCAAAGGCGAAAAAAGTTTCATAAATAACTTTACGTTTAAATATATAGAATGACCCTTTCATATCACCTTAAGACGAGAAAAGTTTCATACATAAGTTTATGTTTAAATATATAGAATGACCCTTTCATATCACCTTAAGACGAGAAAAGTTTCATACATAAGTTTATGTTTAAATATATAGAATGATCTTTTCATATTATCTTAAGAAGAGAAAAATTTCATAAATAATTTTACGTTTCACATATATAGGATGACCTTCTCATATCACCTTAAGGCGAGAAAAGTTTCATAAATAATTTTACGTTTAAATATATAGAACGACCTTTTCATATCACCTTAATGAGGCAGAACTCTTTTCTCGCCATCTAATCTTTCACCACATCCTTTCTCCGACTGATCGAGGACACTTGTCCAATGTGTGACAATTTGTCGACGTATCGTTGACCCATTTTCTTTTTAACCTGACGTAACATTTCCGTTTGTAGAAATCAAAGGTAAAATTCTTCAAAAGGCGGTGATCCTCAAAGGCGATCTTTCAAGTACGAAGGACATTTTGTCTCCCGTCTCGATCGTCGGAGTCCTTGTTCATCAAATTCTTCTCGACGAGATATTCACTGGGAAAAAAGTGAAAATGATTTCTTTTTCTTTGAGAACCGATCGCTTTTGATTTCATGCCAAGTTATGAAATTAAATCTTTAATTTCATGCAAAATTATGGAATTAAATCTTTAATTTCATGCAAAATTATGAAATGTAATCTTTGATTTCATGCAAAATTATGGAATTAAATCTTTGATTTCATGCAAAATTATGAAATTAAATATTTCACTTCATACAAACTTATGGAATTAAATCTTTGATTTCATACAAAGTAACGGAATTAAGTTTTTCACTTCATAAAAAGTTATGGATTTAAATATTTGATTTCATGCAAAGCTATGAAATTAAATCTTTGATTTCATTCAAAGAAATGAAATTAAATCTTTGATTTCATTCAAAGAAATGAAATTAAATCTTTGATTTCATACGAAGTTATGGAATTAAATGTTTGATTTCATACAAAGTTATGAAATTAAATATTTGATTTCATGCAAAATTATGGAATTAAATATTTGATTGCATGCAAAATTATGAAAATAAATCTTTGATTTCATGCAAAATCATGAAATTAAATCTTTTATTTCATACGAAGTTATGGAATTAAATGTTTGATTTCATACAAAGTTATGAAATTAAATATTTGATTTCATGCAAAATTATGAAATTAATAATATTTCACTTCATACAAAGTTATGGAATTAAGTATTTTATTTCATACAAAGTTATGAAATTAAATCTTTGATTTCATACTTTATAAAATTGTCGATTTTCGTCGTTTTCAGCAACAACGCCTCGGATGAAATGAACGAGGAACCTAAAAGCTTTAAAAAATGTTCGATTTTCATGGTTTTCAGCAACAACTCCTCGAATGAGATGAACGAGGAACCTAAAAACCTTACAAAATGACGATTTTCGTTGTTTTCAGCAACAACGACTCGGAGTAAAGGGAAAAAAGGCTCAACAAGCCTACTAAGTTTTCCCTACTATACATCACTATTGAATCTAAATTTGTTGTTTTCAGCAACAACGACTCGTAGTAAAGGAAAAAAGGCTCAACAAGCCTACTAAGTTTTCCCTACTATACATCACTATTGAATCTAAATTTGTTGTTTTCAGCAACAACGACTCGTAGTAAAGGAAAAAAGGCTCAACAAGCCTACTAAGTTTTCCCTACTATACATCACTATTGAATCTAAATTTGTTGTTTTCAGCAACAACGACTCGTAGTAAAGGAAAAAAGGCTCAACAAGCCTACTAAGTTTTCCCTACTATACATCACTATTGAATCTAAATTTGTTGTTTTCAGCAACAACGACTCGGAGTAAAGGAAAAAAGGCTCAACAAGCCTACTAAGTTTTCCCTACTATAGATCACTATTGAATCTAAATTGGTTGTTTTCAACAACGACTCGGAGTAAAGGAAAAAAAGGCTCAACAAGCCTACTAAGTTTTCCCTACTATACATCACTATTGAATCTAAATTTGTTGTTTTCAGCGACAACGACTCGGAGTAAAGGAAAAAAAGGCTCAACAAGCCTACTAAGTTTTCCCTACTATACATCACTATTGAATCTAAATTTGTTGTTTTCAGCGACAACGACTCGGAGTAAAGGAAAAAAAAGCTCAACAAGCCTACTAAGTTTTCCCTACTATACATCACTATTGAATCTAAATTTGTTGTTTTCAGCGACAACGACTCGGACGAGCCGTGGAAAGTGGAAAGCGACACGGAGGAAAGAAACGAGAAGGCAAGAAAAGCTTATCAATCCCTGCTGACCGTGACGGCGCGCACCCCTGATAACATCGAGTACCTCAACTTCTCGAGGGAGGTGAAGTCTCTCGCCCAGAGCAGATACAACTTCACCTTCGGCAACAGCTCGGTCTCCACTTTCGTCACGGCCTTCTACGATGCCGTCCTCCTCTACGCCCTCGCCCTTAAGGAAAGCCTCCCCGAGAAGCCGGGAGAGGTCAACCTGGACGGGGGCAATCTGACGCGCAGGATGTGGGGCAGGAGTTTCAAGGGTGAGTTACTCTTCCACCGAGTTTCACCTCCCCCTGCGTCATCCTGGACCTCCGGACATTAAGGCGATATGAAAGTCGGGGTCGATCGCAAATTTCACTTTTCTCCGCACTGGGTGTATCGAATTGTTTCAAACTTTTATATGTGGAGGTGCTGGTACTAGAGAAGGTTCCTACACTCATGAACATTTGTTTAAATTTGTTTAAACTTATTTATGAGGGTTTTTTAATTTTTTACGCGAGGAAATGTGCACAGCAGGACCGTATGTAGGAAATTCATGTCTCGGCCTGCGTTATTCTGGACCTCCGGACATTAAGGCGATATGAAAGTCGGGGTCGATCCCTAATTTCACTTTTCTCCACACTGGGTGTTTCGAATTGTTTCAAACTTTTATATGTGGATGTGCTGGTACTAGAGAAGGTTCCTACACTTATGAACATTTGTTTAAATTTGTTTATAAGGGTTTTTAAATTTTTTTACGTCATGAAATGTGTACGGCAGGACCTTATGTAGGATATTTATATTTATGTGATATTTTCGAACGATTCCATATATTCAGTTCGAGAAAATGTAGATAAGGTACATACATAAACAAGACGTTAAGGCGATATGAAAGTCGGGGTCGATCGCTAATTTCACTTTTCTCCGCACTGGGTGTATCGAATTGTTTCAAACTTTTATATGTGGAAGTGCTGGTACTAGAGAAGGTTCCTACGCTTATGAACATTTGTTTAAATTTGTTTATAAGGGTTTTTAAATTTTTTTACGTCATGAAATATGTACGGCAGGTCCTTATGTAGGATATTCATGTTCATGTGATATTTTCGAACGATTCCATTTATCAAGTTCGGAGAAAAGGTAGATAAACAAGACTTTAAGGTGGCATGAAAGTGTCAACTAAAAAGTCAATCTTTTATATCACTTTTCTTCGAACTGGATGTATCGAATAATTCAAAACTTCACCACATGAACACGAAAGCCTTAAAGAAGGTATCTCTCCCACTAAGCTTGATTATTTTTAAAAAATTTGTTCATAAACATTTATTAAATTTTTTAAAATGCAGTTCCATGAACATCAGAACCTTCAGGGCTTTAATATTCACGTGGTAGGGTGTCGAACGATTCAATAAATCCAGTTTATAAAAAAGCTTCACAAACGATTGATCTCTCACATGCCACTTTCACATCGCCTTAAGGTTTCGTTTATGTCACTTTTTTTCGAACTGGATGTATCGAATGATTCAAAACTTCACCACACGAACACGAAAGCCTTAAGGAAGGTATCTCTCCCACGAAGCTTGATTATTTTTTAAAAATTTGTTCATAAACATTAATTAAATTTTTAAAAATGCAGTTCATGAGCGTCAGGGTCTTCATATTCGCGTCGCCATTTGTCGCCCAGTTTGTAAAAAGGTGTCATAAACTAGACGGCACTTTCTTATCACCTTATCACGACTTTTCCGATGTACACGCGTGTAAAAAATGAATGTACAGCAGCGAGCACGTCCGCTATCTCAATTTCGGATTTTATGCCTCGCTCTGATGAGCGGGAATCATATTTCATTGATATTGCGTCCGGAACTGTTTTACGGGGTAATTTGAGGCGCGGAACAAACTTTTAAGGGGGAATATATTCCCGAGGGCAGTTTTCGTCCTTTTACCCCATTTTGGATCGTCGCCATGGATGTTAAGGTCGTTCCGAACCTCGAAGACCAAGTTTTGATGAGCTCTCGAGAGATGGGAATGCATTCAACAACTTTTTTAGGTTAGGATACACAATTTTTAGGTTACATCGCGAACCGCAGTGGGTGGATTTAAATATCTCTTTGGCAAAAAGTAGTTTGCAAACATTTAAGGTGATGTGAAACACCTCGAGGAACTTGATCGGCGTCGGTAAAGAAGATTTTCCTAAATACCTAGGTTGCCGAATATTTTATAAGAAATTTTGAAAATGGGTGTTAATCGATTTTTTAAAAATTGAAATTTCATATGTGTCGGGACTTTCGTTATTGCTTTCACCTTCACATTATGAAATTTGAAACAATTCAACCAAATTTAAAACAAGTTTAATAAACGAGACCTCTTCGACCTTAAGGTGATGTGAAAGTGGCGACAAAAATTTCCTTTATGAAATTTTTCTTTGAACTGGGTGTATGGAATCATTTGAAATTTTTCAATGTGAATTTGGAGACTATAAATGAAATTTCAGTTTTATAAGAAATTTTAAAAATGTATGTAAACCAATTTGTTAAAAATTGAAATCTGAAACAAAGGTCTCGATTATGGAGTTTTTTTTTCTGAATTGAGTGCATAGAATCATTTCAAACTATACAAGGTTTATTTTTTGAGACTATAAGAAAGGTCTTGACACCCATGAAATTTCATTTTTGCAAGAAATTTTGAAAATGTACGTAAATCAATGTTTATAAAAATTAAAATGTGAAACAAAGATCTCGATTATGGAATTTTTTTTCTGAATTGAGTGCATAGAATCATTTCAAACTATACAAGGTTTATTTTTTGAGACTATAAGAAAGGTCTTGACACCCATGAAATTTCATTTTTGCAAGAAATTTTGAAAATGTACGTAAATCAATGTTTATAAAAATTAAAATGTGAAACAAAGATCTCGATTATGGAATTTTTTTTCTGAATTGAGTGCATAGAATCATTTCAAACTATACAAGGTTTATTTTTTGAGACTATAAGAAAGGTCTTGACACCCATGAAATTTCATTTTTGCAAGAAATTTTGAAAATGTACGTAAATCAATGTTTATAAAAATTAAAATGTGAAACAAAGATCTCGATTATGGAATTTTTTTTCTGAATTGAGTGCATAGAATCATTTCAAACTATACAAGGTTTATTTTTTGAGACTATAAGAAAGGTCTTGACACCCATGAAATTTCATTTTTGCAAGAAATTTTGAAAATGTACGTAAATCAATGTTTATAAAAATTAAAATGTGAAACAAAGATCTCGATTATGGAATTTTTTTTCTGAATTGAGTGCATAGAATCATTTCAAACTATACAAGGTTTATTTTTTGAGACTATAAGAAAGGTCTTGACACCCATGAAATTTCATATCTACAAGAAATTTTGAAAATATTAATAAACAAATGTTAAAAAAAAATTGAAATTTCACGAGTGTCAGAACAGTCCTTAAATCCTCCACCTTCATATGGTAAAATTTCGAACAATTCAGTACGTCCAGTGTTTTTTAATTTTTATACCGTTTATGGAGCAATTGTCTTCAGATCTACTTTTGCAATTAATTGAGGAATAAAATGTATTTATTAAATATTTTATAATCGATCTTTCTTTTACTGTCGATGCACTACCGACTGCAATAATTTTCGTTTCATCGAGCGTTTCGGTAAAATTTCAAACAATTCAGTACGTCCAGTGTTTTTTAATTTTTATACCGTTTATGGAGTAATTGTCATCTGATCTACTTTTGCAATTAATTGAGGAATAAAACGTATTCGTTAAATATTTTATAATCGGTCTTTCTTTTACTGTCGATGCACTACCGACTGCAATAATTTCCGTTTCGACGAGCGTTTCGGATTTTTATTTCCCCCTGAAATTCAATTTGTTGGTCGGAGGTAACCACATCGCGAATGAAAAATCGAGGGATTACAAAATCCCGGAGTGAGTTTTGATTTATAGATCCTCGCTTCCGGTTTTCCTGATGGCGGAATCGAAACGTGACAAAGTGATCGATGGTTTCAGGCATTACGGGGGACGTGAATATCGACGAGAACGGAGACCGCATCGCGGACTACTCTCTACTCGACATGAATCCTGCCACGTCAAAATTTGAGGTAAGATTTTGAAAAATCCAATAATTTTTTCCCTACTCCTCTTTGCAATCCCAAAATTCGAAAATTTGTTCCCTACTCCTCTTCGTAATTCCAAAATTCGATAATTTTTTCCCTACTCCTCTTTGCAATTATAAAATTATCGAATTTTGGGATTGCAAAGAGGAGTAGGGAAAAAATTATCGAATTTTGGGATTGCAAAGAGGAGTAGGGAAAACATTTTCCAATTTTTTCCCTACTCTTTACAATCCCAAAATTCGATAATTTGTTCCCTACTCCTCTTTGCACTCCTAAAATTCGAAAATTTGTTCCCTACTCCTCTTTGCAATCCCAAAATTCGAAAATTTGTTCCCTACTCCTCTTTGCAATCCCAAAATTCGAAAATTTTTTCCCTACTCTTCTTTGCAATCCCAAAATTCGATAATTTTTCCCTACTCCTCTTTGCAATCCCAAAATTCGAAAATGTTTTCCCTATTCCTCTTTGCAATCCCAAAATTCGAAAATTTTTTCCCTACTCTTTGCAATCCCAAAATTCGAAAATTTTGAGCCGAGAGACTATGGAGAGATTATAGCGAATATACCTTGAGAGTAAAATGATAAGTACCAAAGAAATATTTTTTTAAATAGTACCAAAGAAGTATTTTTTTGAATAGAACCAAAGAAATATCTTCTTGAATAGTACCGGAGAAATATATTTTTGAATAGTAACAAAGAAATATCTTTTTGAATAGTACCAAAGAAGTATCTCTTTGAATAGTACCAGAGAAATATCTTTTTGAATAGTACCAAAGAAGGATCTATTTGAATAGTAACCAAAAAAAATCTTTTTCAGTAGTACCAAAGAATATATCTTTTTGAATAGTACCCATGAAATTGAATCGAATAATTATTCTTTGAATCAACAAAGTAAATACTTTGTTGCATCCAATGAACTCGAGTTCATTTGATTTGAATGATTATTCTTGAAATTAATAGAATGTTTCTTTGGTACTATTTAAAAAGATATATTCTTCTTGCACTACTCAAAAATATATTTCTTTCGTACTATTCAAAAGAACATTTTTTGGTACTACTCAAAAAGATATTTCTTTGGTACTATTCAAAAGGACATTTTTTGGTACTACTCAAAAAGATACTTCTTTGGTACCATTGAAAAAGATATTTCTTTGGTACTATTCAAAATGATACTTCCTTTGTTCTATTCAAAAAGTCATTTCTTTAGTACTACTCAATAAGATATTTTGCACTACTCAAAAATCTATTTCTTTCGTACTATTCAAAAGAACATTTTTTGGTACTACTCAAAAAGATATTTCTTTGGTACTATTCAAAAGGACATTTTTTGGTACTACTCAAAAATATACTTCTTTGGTACCATTGAAAAAGATATTTTTGTTCTATTCAAAAAGTCATTTCTTTAGTACTACTCAAAAAGACATTTCTTTGGTACTACTCAGAAAGATATTTCTCGATACCGTTCAAAGACATATTTCTTAGGTTCGACGAATTTCATTCTGAGAGTGAAAAGAGACTTTTTCGCTCAGACTAAGATGGAGATCAGTTTCTAATCAGTTCGTGGAGTCCTCCCCGAGTTTCCCGGTTTTTCTCCTCCTAGGGATTCCCGTCGAGTCACCATTCAGTCCGGTACATTTCCCCCAGATCGTGGCTAATTACTATGGGGCGAACCAGACCCTGGAGTACGTCCCCGGCAGGCGAATTCACTGGTCCGGAGGCAGATTAGAACCTCCACCTGATACGCCGACATGCGGATTCGATGGCGCCTTGTGTCCCGATAATTGTAAGTCGCCATTTCTGCTTCGTCGGGATTACCGAGGGTGGTTACACGCCTTTCGATTAATCCCGCCGATTTATCGCCTGTACGGTTTAATCGAATTCTTTCACCTTCATACACTTGTTAGTTCAATTTGTGGATGTTGCGCAGATTTATTCCAATGATTTCTTGCAATGTAGCTACATTTTGCACATTGCACAGATTTGTTGCAACGATTTCTTGTAATATCGCTACTTTGTATATATTGCACAGATTTATTGTAACGATTTGTTGCAACGATATACGTATTGTACCGATTTATTGCAACAATTTGTTGCAATGCAGCTACTTTGTACATATTGCGCAGATTTATTCCAATGATTTCTTGTAATATCGCTACTTTGTACATATTGCACAGATTTATTCCAACAATTTGTTGCAATGCACCTACTTTATACATATTGCATAGATTTATTGTAATGATTTGTTGCAACGATATACGTATTGCACCGATTTATTGCAACAATTTGTTCCAATGCAGCTACTTTGTACATATTGCACAAATTTATTGTAAAGATTTCTGGCAACGATGTACATATTGCACAGATTTATTGCAAAGACTTGTTGCAGTGTAAATACTGCACAGATTTATTGTAAAGACTTGTTGCAATATAGCTACGTTGCACATATTGCACATATTTATTGCAAAGATTTGTTACAATGTAGATATTACACAGATTGATTGCTAATACTTGTTGCACCGTAAATACTGCACAGATTTATTGCAAAGACTTGTTGCAATATAGCTATGTTGTACATATTGCACAAATTCATTGTAAAGATTTGTTACAATGTAGATATTGCACAGATTGATTGCAAACACTTGTTCCAGTGCAGAAATTGCACAGATTTATTGCAAAGATTTATCATGGAGTACATTATCACCTTAACAGGATGCTAAACATTCGATCGAAAAGACCAAATTGCTATACACGTTGCGATAAATCGTAGCGATTTGTAATCTGCGCAGTTTAATCGAGTTCCTCTGTACTTACATACGTATCAATTGAATTCTGTATGATCAACTGGTGTTAATTAGTGTCCTTTTTCATGATTTCAGCTCTACCAGGTTATGCCATATTGTCAATTGTCCTGAGTTCAATTGTCGTCGGTCTTGTAGTGGCTTCGGTATTCATATACCGGTGAGTTTTATTGTTTATAAACTATGAATTTATTTAAATAGACCTAAATTGTAATATACAAACAAATAGTAAATTTTAGAAGGTTAATATTGAAAAAAAATCACATTGCATCTTGCAGTTAAGTCAACATTTGTGCAACAGATTCAGACATGCGGAGCAACTAATTTGCATATTCGTAATAATAAACATTCGACGTCATACAAGCTGTTTAATGGATATAAATTGTAATATATATAAACAAATAGTAAATGTCAGAAGGTTAATACTGAAAATCGTCACATTGTACCCTGCAGTTAAGTCAACATTTGTGCAACAGATTCAGACATGCGGAGCAACTAATTTGCATATTTGCAATAGTAAACATTCGACGTCATTCAAGCTGTTTGATGGATATAAATTGTAATGTATAAACAAATAGTAAATGTCAGAAAGTTAATACTGAAAATCGTCACATTGCATCCTTCAGTTAAGTCAACATTTGTGCAACAGATTCAGACATGCGGAGCAACTAATTTGCATATTCCCAATAGTAAACTGTCGACGTCATTCAAGCTGTTTAATGTTCCCTTTAACGTTTTAATGTTGCACAAGGAGATTGCGAATTAGATTAAGCGAAGCTAAAACTGGCCGTAAAACGTTTCGTCTTAATCGGGAGTGAAGACTGCTCGAGATACTTTTTACACTTTTTACGACGTCGTTTCCACCTTCAAAGTAGCTCGAGATTCTGATCACAGGATTTACAATGATAAGGACTCTTTGTCGTCGATTTTCCTTCTTTCATTCGTGATAGTAATGAATATTGATGAAGCCGATTCATTGTTCATTGATCTTTGATCATTGTTCATTCTTTGCGGCTTTCAGACACTTCAAGTTGAAGAGTGACATTGCTTCGATGATGTGGAAGGTCCATCGGGATGACGTACTGATGATGCCGATTCATTTTTCACTGTTCATGGTTCATTGTTCATTCTTTGCGGTTTCCAGACACTTCAAGTTGATTGTTCATTGATCTTTGATTATTGTTCATTCTTTGCGGCTTTCAGACACTTCAAGTTGAAGGGTGACATTGCTTCGATGATGTGGAAGGTCCATCGGGATGACGTACTGATGATGCCGATTCATTTTTCACTGTTCATGGTTCATTGTTCATTCTTTGCGGTTTCCAGACACTTCAAGTTGTTCATTGTTCATTCTTTACAGCTTTCAAACACTTCTAGTTGTTCATTCTTCATTATTTACGGCTTTCAGACTCTTCAAGTTGGAGGCTGACATTGCTTCGATGATGGGGAAGGTCCATTCGGATGACGTATTGATGACGCCGATTCATTTTTCATGGTTCATTGTTCATTCTTTGCGATTTCCAGACACTTCAAGTTGTTCATTGTTCATTCTTTACGACTTTCAGACAGTTCAAGCTGGAGGCTGACATTGCTTCGATGACGTGAAGGTCCACTGGGATGACGTATTGATGATACCGATTCATTGTTCATTGATCATTTGTTTGTTTTTGGTCATTTTTTGTGGTTTTCAGACACTCCAAGTTGTCCATTGTTCATTCTTAACGGTTTTCAGACACTTCAAGCTGGAAGCTGACATTGCTTCGATGACGTGGAAGATCCATTGGGATGACATATTGATGATACCGATTCATTGTTCATTGATCATTGTTAATTGGTAATTCTTTGCGGTTTTCAGACACTTCAAGTTGTTCATTGTTCCTTTTTCACGGTTTTCAGACAGTTCAAGTTGGAGGCTGACATTGCTTCGATGACGTGAAGGTTCATTGGGATGACGTATTGATGATGTCGATGCATTTTTCACTGTTCATTGTTCATTCTTTGCGGTTTTCAGACACTTCAAGTTGTTCATAGTTCATTCTTCACGGTTTTCAGACATTTCAAGCTGGAGGCTGACATTGCTTCTATGACGTGAAGGTTCATTGGGATGACATATTGATGATATCGATTCATTGTTCATTGATCATTGTTAATTGGTAATTCTTTGCGGTTTTCAGACACTTCAAGTTGTTCATTGTTCCTTTTTCACGGTTTTCAGACAGTTCAAGTTGGAGGCTGACATTGCTTCTATGACGTGAAGGTTCATTGGGATGACGTTTTGATGATATCGATTCATTATTAATTGGTCATTCTTTGCGGTTTTCAGACACTTCAAGTTGGAAGCTGACATTGCTTCGATGACGTGGAAGGTCCATTGGGATGACATATTGATGATATCGATTCATTATTAATTGGTCATTCTTTGCGGTTTTCAGACACTTCAAGTTGGAAGCTGACATTGCTTCGATGACATGGAAGGTCCATTGGGATGACGTATTGATGATGCCCATAGGGAAGACCAGGGGATCGATTTACTCCTTGCCTTTGACCAAGATGCGAGGAAGTCAACTGGTATGTTAATAATACAATTGAACTACCTTAAGGTAATATGAAAGAGTCAACCCATATCTATCTGAGAGGTTAAATCGTTGAGGAAAGTATTCCCCGAATTGGGGGTACCGATTAGTTTCAAATTTCGCCACGGGAATATGGAGGCGCTAAAGTAGGTCCTGAAACTCAGGAAATTTCATTTTTCATCAAAAGTTTATTAATTTATCGTGGATTATCATTATCATTATCCGTAAAAGACTTCGACATAAATATAAATGTCGGTAATGGGACGCGCCAGCTTATGTTACTACTTGAGTATTCAAAATGACGTTCCTATCAAAAAGGGAATACATGAATTTTAATTTATCGACGTCGATTAAATTTCTTAGCCCCTTTCATATCCTCTTAAGGTCTGCAATTTCTAATTCTAATTGTAAGTGGAATCATCAGTTGCATTTAAGGTACGTAATACGAGCCGAAGGGAGGGCTGGAAAATTTTTCCAAAAAGTTGGTTAATTTTTCCCGTACTCACTTTGGTACGACGACAAAAAGTGCCGAGCACTCCGAACTTTGGGCGGTAAAATCCGATGAACTAATTTTCAAAAAGCCTTGACGTCGCGATAAGCGTCAAAGTGTATTTCAATTTCAAAGTGATAGTACAGAGAATTATTGAGTTGCTGTATAATTAATTCTGTGGTTTGCTATTTTTTATTTACCATCATTTATGTATTTTTTATTTACCGTCAAAGTGCATTTCAGTTTTAAAGTGATAGTTCGGCAAAGTTTTGGTATAATTTTGACGTTTTCATAAAAAATCCACGTGTATGTATGACAACGTTAAAATTTTTATATAAATTTGACGGTTTCATAAAAAATCCATGTCTACGTGTGACAACGTCAAAATCTTTATACAATTTCAATATTTTTATACAATTTCACGTTTTCATAGATAATTTACTTTTTCATAGAATATCCACGTCTGCATATGAAAACGTCAACATTTTTATTTAATTTTGACGTTTTCATAGAAAATCCACGTCTACATATGGAAACATCAAAATTTGTATACAGTTTTGACGTTTTCGTAGAAAATCTACGTTTTCATAGAAAATCTACTTTTTCATAGAAAGTCCACGTCTACATATGGAAACGTCAAAATTTGTATACAGTTTTGACGTTTTCATAGAAAATCTACGTTTTTATAGACAATCTACGTTTTCATAGACAATCTACGTTTTCATAGACAATCTACGTTTTCATAGACAAACTAAGTGTTCATAGACAGTCTACATTTTCATAGACAATCTACATTTTCATAAAAAATCTACTTTTTCATAGAAAATCCACGTCTACATATGAAAACGTCAAGATATTTATTCAATTTTGACGTTTTCATAGAAGATCCACGTCTACATATGAAACCGTCAAAGTTCTTGTACAATTTTGACGTTCCCATGAAAAATCTACGTCTATGTATCAAAACGTCAAAATATGCAATATTTTTTTTTTCCAACTTGGTGCACCGAATCATTCGAAATTTTGCCATGTAAATATGAATCCGGACATCCGTGAAATTCCTTTGTTTCTCAGTTTGTTTAAAGAATTTAATTTCATTCGAATCAGACACTTTTTTCCCAGAGGACATTATTCATTTTATCATTGTTGCTAATTTATCGCCCACGGTTCGGTGATAACAATCATCCACGTTGAACGCGTCTTACTTTGTGAATTACTTATTTCTCTCGCGAGGAATAATTTTTTTCTTTCTTTTAGGGAGAATATGTTTTATTTCAGCTTTTACGAATCGCGTGCAATCTTTATCGAGGATGTAATTCTTCTTTGCAGACTCTCTACTCCGAAGATAACGTCAGTTTGGCTGGAGGTGTAGACAGGCAGATTTATGTCCCTACGGGAATCTACAAGGTACGTGTTGCAAAATATCTCTTATAACTTTTGGACGTAGATGGAAGACTTTTGTATGATTTGAAGGGTGTTGATCCTATTTTTTGGGTGGGATAATGGTGGGGAACTGATCCGGTGCTGATGAAACTGTCTGAAATCGACCACGTGTTGATAAGACGCTGATTAGATGTACAACGCTTCTGATAGGTCATGTCTGGAGCTGATCATCTGGTTTGGTTTTGGCTGAAATCACTTTTTCAAGGCTGGAAAAGTTGATTACACGTTAATTAGATATGCTTCGCTTCTGATGGGTCCTGTCTGGAGCTGATCATCTGATCTAGTTTCGGCTCAAAGCACTTTTTCAAAGCTGGAACTGTTGAATGTCTACTTGGGTTCTCATTAATTCATCAATAGATGACTTAGGAAAATTGTGAAATCATCTAAAGTCAACCAGACGTTGATCAGACGCTGATTAGATGTACAACGCTTCTGATAGGTCATGTTTTGAGATGATCATCTGGTCTAGTTTCGGCCAAAAGCACTTTTTCAAGGCTGGAACTGTTGAATGTCTACTTGGGTTCTCATCAGTTTATCAATAGATGTCTTAGGAAACTTATGAAATCATTTAAAGTCAACCAGACGTTGATCAGATGCTAATTAGATATGCAACGCTCCTCATGGGTCATGTTTGGAGCTAATAATCTGATCTAGTTTTGGTTAGTGACACTTATTTCCGGGTGGAATGGTTGAAAGTTTGCTTAGTTCCTCATCAGTTCATCAATGGATATCTTAACAAACTATGAAATCATCTAAAGTCAATCAGACGTTGATCAGACGCTAATTAGATATGCAACGCTCCTCATGGATCATGTTTGGAGCTGATCATCTGGTCTGGTATTGGTTAGTGACACTTATTTCCGATTGAAATGGTTGAAAGTCTACTTAGTTCCTCATCAGATCATCAATGGATATCTTGGAAAAATTATGAAATTATCTAAAGTCAACCAGTCATTTGATCAGACACTAATTAGATATGCAACGCTCCTCATGGATTATGTTTGGAGCTGATCATCTGGTCTGGTATTGGTTAGTGCCACTTATTTCCGATTGAAATGGTTGAAAGTCTACTTAGTTCCTCATCAGATCATCAATGGATGTCTTAACAAAATTATGAAATCATCTAAAGTCAACCAGACGTTGACCACACGCTAATTAGATATGCAACGCTTCTGATGGGTCATACTTGGAGCTGATCATCTCTTCTGGTTTTGGTTAGTGACACTTATTTCCGGTTGGAATTGTTGAAAGTCTACTTAGTTTCTCATCAGTTCATCATTATATTTTGTAACATGTTATAAAATTCACAGAATTTTTTTATTAACAGTGTGTAATTTTAAGAACCCTCCTGAAAGTCATCAGTCCATGCTTTGAATAGGCAATATGCAATGCAATCTTCACAGGGAATTTCCACCCAAATTTATTGGATTGTTTACTATTTTTTTTTGGACCAGAACCGAGTCATACGTTTGGGTGATCCAATTTGACTTCCTGTAATTCCCCGTCGTCCATGGAATTGATAAAAAGGGTTGGACCATCGCCAGGGAGTTCCCTGTCGAATGTCCAACCCTTTAAATTGCATCGACGGGAATGACAGAAAGGAATAACAAACGACAAACTGTTCCCTCGAGTAGAAACTATACGAACGGCTTTTCTAACAGCTTCGTAAATCGAGAGAATTCACTTAACCGTGCAAAAAGCGGTAATTCATAGTTAGAACGAAATTTACAATTACTTTGGAACGATCATTGCAAATTTCGGAGTTTCCGAAGTCATAGCTAGGAACACTTAGAGTCTTGGCTGGAGTCTAGATACTATCTAGGACTTTCTAGTCATTTTTCCATAGGGAAAAGACCTAGCAATGATGCCAACCTAGTGATATAAGGCCCTAGATGAGAAATTGAATCCGATACTAAGATTTTGCTTGATGATAGCCAGAAAAAATTGTCTAGGCTGGGGCATCAGCACTATGGTACCTTAGTCCTAGCTGGGAACTGATTAAGTCGAAGTCCTAGCTAGATCCTAGATGCTATCTGGGACTTTCTAGTCATTTTTCTGCATGGATAAGACCTAGCAATGATGCCAACCTAGCGATACAAGAATCTAAATGAGAAATTGAATCCAATACTAGGTTTTAAAGTGACATTAACCAGGAGAAATTGGCTTCGATAGGGGATCAGCACTATCTAGGATATGCCAATCTAGCGATACAAGGACCTAGATGGGAAATTGAATCCAAAGTTAGGTTTTAGCTTGATGACAACCAGAAGAAATTGTCTTGGATAGAAGACCAGCACTATTTAGGGTACCATAGCTAGGAACTCTTAAAGTAGAATCCTAGCTAGTGTCTACATACTATCAGGCATTTCCTAGTCACTTTTCCAAATGGATAACACTTAGCCATGATGCCAATCTAGCGATACAAGGACCTTGATGATAAATTGAATCCAATACTAGGATTTAGCTTGACGATAACCAGAAAAAATTGTCTTGGATAGAAGACCAGCACTATTTAGGGTACCACGGCCATAGCTAGAAATTCTTAAAGTAGAAGTCCTAGCTAGATCTTAAATGCTATCTGGGACTTTCTAGTCATTTTTCTATATGGATAAGACCTAGCAATGATGCCGATCTAGCGATACAAGGACCTAGATGAGAAATTGAATCCAAAGTTAGGTTTTAGCATGGCCATAACCAGAAGAAATTGTCTTGGATAGGAGACCAGCACTAGGATACCTAAACCATACCTGGTAACTCTTAAAGTGGAAGTCCTAGCTAGATCCTAGATGCTATCTGGGACTTTCTGGTCATTTTTCTATATGGATAAGACCTAGCAATGATGCCAACCTAGCGATACAAGAATCTAAATGAGAAATTGAATCCAATACTAGGTTTTAAAGTGACATTAACCAGGAGAAATTGGCTTCGATAGGGGATCAGCACTATCTAGGATATGCCAATCTAGCGATACAAGGACCTAGATGGGAAATTGAATCCAAAGTTAGGTTTTAGCTTGATGACAACCAGAAGAAATTGTCCTGGATAGAAGACCAGCACTATTTAGGGTACCACGGCCATAGCTAGAAACTCTTAAAGTGGAAGTCCTAGCTAGATCCTAGATGCTATCTGGGACTTTCTAGTCATTTTTCTATATGGATAAGACCTAGCAATGGTGTCAAACTAGGAATACCAGACCTTAGATGAGAAATTGAATGTAATACTAGGTTTTAGCTTGGCGATAACCAAGAAAAATTGTCTTGGATAGGAGACCAGCACTATCTAGGGTACCACGGCCACAGCTAGAAACTCTTAAAGTGGTAGTCCTAGCTAGATCCTAGATGCTATCTGGGACTTCCTAGTCATTTTTCTATATGGATAAGACCTAGCAATGATGCTAACCTACCGATACAAGGCCCTAGATGATAAATTGAATCCAATACTAGGTTTGAGATTGGCGATAACCAAGAGAAATTGTCTTGGATAGGGGATCAGCACTATCTAGGATACCTAAACCATAGCTGGTAACTCTTAAAGTGGAAGTCCTAGCTAGATCCTAGATGCTATCAGGGACTTCCTAGTCACTTTTCCAAATGGATAAGACCTAGCAATGATGCTAACCTAACAATACAAGGCCCTAGATGATAAATTGAATCCAATACTAGGTTTGAGATTGACTAACCAGGAAAAATTGTCTAGGCTGGAGGATCAGCACTATCTAGGATACCTNGCTAGAGCCTAGATGCTATCTGGGACTTCCTCCTCAGTTTTCCCATGGGAGGGGTTCATTTCCTCTCGACAGTTTCCCGTCACCATTAAACTCCTGGTTGGAGAATACGGAGTCGCCACTACCTAGCCATTAAATTAGCATATTTAACGTCCGACATAAACGATCCTGGAGAGCACCGCTCTCGACGATGTTCCTGCTGGACATCTTCCTGAATCCTGGATCTGGGTGTCTTCTACTTACAAGGAAGGTACCTGAGGTGTCCCCCTCCGATTTTGTTCATGTTTAAATATGTTATAGAGGACTAAAATCTAAGGGACCCGTGTTTTTTTTTATCGGCGGATAAACACTTTTAGGGGGTGAAATCAGGCTTCAAAGTTGGCCGTGCAAGGGGGTGAGTTGGCTGTTTCATATAGAAGCACTCGACCGATTTTCATGAAACAACCGTCAAAATGTAGGGAATGAAGAATTATGAAACATGCATTTGGAATTTTTCGAAAAAATTCATTTTTAAGGGGTGAGCCACCCCTTTGAATACTTCTTTTACCCCTTACGCGAGCAGTAATTGTTCTATCCAAATGAAACTTTTTTTGTATTGTTCTGGTCTATAAATTAACCAAGTTTCATTTGGATAGAACAATTACTGCTCGCGTAAGGGGTAAAAGAAGTATTCAAAGGGGTGGCTCACCCCTTAAAAATGAATTTTTTCGAAAAATTCCAAATGCATGTTTCATAATTCTTCATTCCCTACATTTTGACGGTTGTTTCATGAAAATCGGACGAGTGCTTCTATATGAAACAGCCAACTCACCCCCTTGCACGGCCAACTTTGAAGCCTGATTTCACCCCCTAAAAGTGTTTATCCGCCAATAAAAAAAAACACGGGTCCCTTAGATTTTAGTCCTCTATAACATATTTAAAAATGAACAAAATCGGAGGGGGACACCTCAAGTACCTTCCTTGTTAGTAGTGTTTTTTCACCAGGATATTTATCTAGGCTTAATCCTAGGTCCTGGCAAGGATCTATAAGGATAATCACGTAACAATAAATCATTCTGACTGATGATCCTTGCATTTAGTTAAATAAATAAGTTCCCACCGTTTTTAGCGTAACGCATCGTGATTAAAACGGCAGGAATTTATTCCTTAACCTAAACAATGTTCTCTTAAAAAATTGAAGGGATATTCATTCGCTAGTTAGGATATGAAAGGCACTGAGAAATTTAATCCAGATCGATAAATTAAAATTCATGTATTCCCTTTTTGACAGGAACGTCATTTTGAATACTCAAGTGGGAACTAAACAGTCGTTAGAATAATGAATTCCGGGGATTTCGACAGTTTTACGTTGATCTCTTCGTCATTACTTTCCCGAAATGACATATGGAACGCTTCAATACGTATAATTCTCAACGTAGACTGTGAAATATCATATTTACCACATTTTCCCATCTGACTCTGTGATATTCCATTTCTACGGTATTCTAAATTCTTCGAGGTAGGTCCTGAAACTCTTCATTTTCGATTCTAACCCTCCAAGAGGTGTAAAATATCAAAAATGTGCCCGGACGCCGCCATGTTGGTTCAAGTCCATGATAAATAAATAAATTATCGATGAAAAATGAAATTTCATGAGTTTCAGGACCTACTTTAGCGCCTCCATACTCCCGTGGTGAAATTTGAAACTAATCGGTACCTCCTATTCGAGCGAGGAGGGAGAAACTCGAAGATCCTTCTTCCAATATGGAGGAAGAGAAACGCTAGGGAAACTGACAATGAGAAAAAGGAAGGACCAGGGAGGACAAATAGGACCGACGTCCTTAAGGAAACGCCGGCTTACTTGGGGAATTACTCCATTGTCTGTGGATAGTGGCCAGCTAGTTTCCTAGGAACTTCACTCGGCTCGTTTTCTAAAAGGATTTATTTAGCGTTGGCTCTTGAACAGGATCCAACATTAAGGTTGTTACATACGTAAAGGACTCATCCCCATCTAAATGTATCTTGGACAAGAACCAAGAAAAGATATATACTTTTTTTTAAATGAAATTTCATGGTCAGCGCGTTTTTCCTTAGGGGCTCCATAATCACGTGTTGACCTTTTGAACACGGAGCCATTTCGACATATGGGCGAAATTCCTCTGACCGTGCAGGCGATATTGGACCTAACGTTGGACGCCTTTCGGCGCTCTTAATAGCAAAAAAGTTAAATAATATATTTCATCGGTTAAATGCATTCTTATTATCGTAAAAATTCTTAATAGCAAAAAAGTGAAATAATATATTTCTTCGGTTAAATGCATTTTTATTTTTGCAGTGTAGAGGAATAACTCCGATAAATCTCGATTTCGAGGTGTTTCTTCTTCTTCATATCGCATACAAGTCATCGATTAACCCTTTGAACACGTAGCCTTTTCGACATATGGGTGAAATTCGTCTGACCGTGCAGGCGATATTGGACCAAACGTCGGGCGCCTTTAAACGCTCTTAGTAGCCAAAGGGTTAAATAATATATTTCTTCGGTTAAATGCAGTTTTATTTTCACAGTATAGAGGGAAACCTTAGATAAATCTCGATTTCGAGGTGTTTCTTCTTTTTCATATCGCATACAAGTCATCGATTAACCCTTTGAACACGGAGCCATTTCGACATATGGGCGAAATTCCTCTGACCGTGCAGGCGATATTGGACCAAACGTCGGGCGCCTTTAAACGCTCTTAGTAGCCAAAGGGTTAAATAATATATTTCTTCGGTTAAATGCAGTTTTATTTTCACAGTATAGAGGGAAACCTTAGATAAATCTCGATTTCGAGGTGTTTCTTCTTTTTCATATCGCATACAAGTCATCGATTAACCCTTTGAACACGGAGCTATTTCGACATACGGGCGAAATTCCTCTGACCGTGCAGGCGATATTGGGCCAAACGTCGGGCGCCCTTAGGCGCTCTCAGTAGCCAAAGGGTTAAGGACGTCCTTCCTCTTTCTCATTGTCAGTTTCGTTTCTTTTCCACCTTTGGTCCACCTTCGAGCTTCTCGCTCCCTCTGATAACATGGTATCCGCTCCCTTTTCATCCCTCTTGTGCGTGCCCTTGGTGCACTCTTCCCTCTCCCTGATAAGAGTGCAGACGATATGTGACTAGAGACCTCGATTTGTTGCAGAACTCCAAAGTGGCCATAAAGTTGATACCAAGGAGCAAGGTGGAGATCTCCAGACCTCTGCTGCTGGAGCTGAAAAGGGTGAGTCTTCGATTTCTTTCGCTCCCTTGCACCCTCCAGCTTCCCTCCACCCCTTTCCTGGACCTGTACGCACCTCCTGCTTCCCCTTGGCGACAATTTCACTCATCGTATCTCCGTCAAGCGGAGTTCCTCCTAATGGATTCCCTGTTTTCTTCCGACGTGACCCAGAAGATCTTGCCAAATGGCCGGAAGGGACACTCATCTACACGTTGAGGTGTTCTCTACGTCCGCGAACGAGATAAAGGTTGCAAAATGCATTTTTGCTACGAAAAAGTTCATTACTTCAAACGAAAATTGCATTTCTTGTGGCGAAAATTTCATTATTTGCAACAAAAAGTCATAATTTGCAACATAAATTCATCATTTGCAACATAAATTCATCATTTGCAACAAAAATTCATCATTTGTAACGAAAAGTAATCATTTGCAACGAAAACTTCATCAAATGCAATGAACGATTCATCATTTGCAACAAAAATTCATCAAATGCAATGAACGATTCATCTTTTGCCACAAAAATTCATCATTTATAATGAAAAAGTAACTATTTGCAACGAGAACTGCATCAAATGCAATGAAAAATTTATTTTCTGCAAGAAAAAAATCGTCAATTGCAAAGAAAAACTCATCTTTTTGCAACAAAAATTAATCAATTGCAATGAAAAGATCATCTTTTGCAACAAAAGTTCTTCGTTTGCCACAAAAATTCATAATTTGCAACATAAATTCATCATTTGCGGCGAAAATTCATCATTTGCAATGAAAAGTTCATCTTTTGCCACAAAAATTCATCATTTGTAATGAAGAAGTAATTATTTGCAATGAAAAATTAATCTTTTGCCAGAAAAAAATCGTCAGTTGCAAAAAAACTTATCTTTTGCATAGAACAATTCATCTTTTGCAACAAAAATTCATCAGTTGCAATGAAAAGTTCATCTTTTGCAACAAAAACTCATCATTTGCATAAAAAATTCATCTTTTGCAACGGAACAGTCATTCTTTGCAAAAAATGCATCATTTGCAACAAAAGTTCGTCAATTGCAATGATAAATTCATCTTTTGCTACAATAATTCATCCTTTGCAATGAAAACCTCATTTTTTGTAACCAAAATTCACCATTTCCACCGAAAAGTTCATTAATTGCAACGAAAACTTCAATTGCATTGAAACATTCATCATTTGCAACAAAAAATTCATCTTTAACTTAAAAAAAGGTTCATGTCCCGCAACGAAACGCACTACCCTTATCACTGCAAGAAAATTATAAGAGTACAAAAAATTGGCAGTATTCCCGCCGGTTGGAGTGATAATTGTTAACACATGACAATGGAGGCCCTAAGAAGGTCTTGAAACTCGCAAAATGTGATAAAAAAAATATACATATTGTATATCAAGTCCGCGGACCGGTAGTGTAGAAGAACAATTGTTTCAACAAAGCTGAGCTTTGATCGACTGCATTTTGTCCCATGACGGGAATAAATTGGGAAGGGCTTTTAAAATCAGGGAATGACAGTGATCCGTTGAGGTAAATGGCAATTCCCTTGAGCTCCAATCATTAGGGAATAATCCCTAGGCACTAGGGAAGTCCATCTCGCGTCAGGATGCACCCTGCACCCTGGTGCATCCTGACGGGAGTGGATCGGATGACCTCCTTTCGATCATCCTGGCAGGACATCGAAATTGCCTCGTCCTAGAGGAATAACTTTCGGTTCACCTGGTTCGGCCCTACCTTCATCCCTTTAGATGCATGCGATAGGTGGTATCACTTCATGTGAGTGGTGGTGTGTGACTGTCGTAGATGAAGGACTTGCAGCACGACCACCTAGTGCGCTTCTATGGAGCCTGTGTGGAGCCACCCCAGTGCTGCCTGCTCACCGAGTACTGTCCTAAAGGATCTCTACAGGTTGGTCAATGAATTGTTGGAGAGGTGAGCATGACTGTCGTCGCTTTGTCCACTGAGGATACCACAATTAAGCGGAGATGTTTATTAATGATGAGCGAAGTGGGTGTTGGTCTTGCAAAGTTGGTCAGATTGAGGGTTGATGGTAAGAGCAAGACCTGACCATGATTGCAAGACCAAGTACCGTCCTAAATGATCTCTACAGGTTGGTCAATGAATTGTTGGAGAGGTGAGCATGACTGTCGTCGCTTTGTCCACTGAGGATGCCGTAATTAAGAGATGTTTATTAATGATGAGCGAAGTGGGTGTTGGTCTTGCAAAGTTGGTCAGATTGAGGGTTGCTGATAATAGCAGAACCTGGCCATGATTGCAAGGGTGGTCAGATTGGGGCTTGACAGTATGTGCAAGACCTGACCAGGATTGCAAGGTTGGTCAGATTGAGGCTTGATGGTAACAGCAAGACCTGACCATGATTGCAAGGTTGGTCAGATTGAGGCTTGATGGTAAGAGCAAGACCTGACCATGATTGCAAGGTTTTGCAGATTGAGGCTTGATGGTAACAGCAAGACCTGACCATGATTGCAAGACCAAGTACCGTCCTAAATGATCTCTACTGGTTAGTCAATGAATTGTTGGAGAGGTGAGCATGACTATCGTCACTTTGTCCACTGAGGATGCCCTAATTAAACGGAGATGTGTATTAATGATGAGCGAAGTCGGTGTTGGTCTTGCAAAGTTGGTCAGATTGAGGCTTGACAGTGACTATAAGACCTGACCATGATTGTAGGTCTTGGTTAACTTGAGGCTTGCTGGTAACAGCAAGACCTGACCCTAATTACAAGTCCTGATCATACAGAGGCTTGATGGGAACTGTAAGACCTCACCATTATGGCAAATCTTGCTCAAATCGAGGGTTGATGGTAACAACAAGACCTGACCATTATGGCAAGTGTTGGTCAAATTGAGGCTTGCTGGTAACAGCAAGACCTGACCCTAATTACAAGTCCTGATCAAACCGAGGCATGTAGCACGAAATTCCACACAATGCTGCGTAGAAGTCTGATTAACGACGTTTAGTATTCATTTCATACTCTAATGCATAATTATGAATGGCTGTAACCAAATTGTTCCACCCTTACAATTTAATTCCGCTGGATTGGCAAAACACCACACCATGCTCCGGATAACATTGCCGTAACCGCGTTTGCGGGAAATAGGATCGCAAGAAACGAGACCAGATTGCTCCGAGTAATCCTCTCCCTAATTTAGAGCCCAACAAGGCAAACTCTAATACGTCGTGTGTCGTTTTGCAGGACATTTTGGAGAACGAGCAGCTGAAGCTGGACCGAGTCTTCAGGGGGTCCCTTATCCATGACATAGTTCGTGGCATGGCCTATCTTCACGCTTCCGAAGTCAGAAGCCATGGGAACCTTAAATCCTCAAATTGTGTGGTGGACTCGAGATTTGTCCTGAAAATTGCTGACTTTGGTCTGCACGAGCTGAGACGACCGCATCTCTTGGAGATGGACGAGGACAAGACCAGCTACGCCTACTGGAGAAGTATGTCAGCTATCAATGATGGCTAGCACTTTCATACCACCTTAAATTCCGGTATTGCGCTCCTAATTTTTGTGGATTTGCCCAGGGGACCATTTTTAATTTAGGTTATATTGGTTTGCGGATTTTGTCGATAGAGCCTTCTAACTTGAAATCCGCAATTAGTTAGTTGCTAACCCAATGGGTAGCTAGCACTTTCATACCACCTTAAATTCCGGTATTGCGCTCCTAATTTTTGTGGATTTGCCCAGGGGACCATTTTTAATTTAGGTTATATTGGTTTGGCTACTCATGATTGCGGATTTTGTCGATAGAGCCTTCTAACTTGAAATCCGCAATTAGTTAGTTGCTAACCCAATGGGTAGCTAGCAGTTTCATATCACCTTAAATTCCCGCATTGCGATCTTAATTCTCGTGGATTTTCCCAGGGAACCATTTTTGATTTAGGTTAGGTCATCATATTGGTTTGGTAACTAATAATTTCGGATTTTGTTGATAGAACCTTCTAACTTAAAATCCGCAATTAGTTAGTTGCTAACCTAATAGATGGCTAGCACTTTCATATCACCTTAAATTCCGGTATTGCGCTTCTAATTCTCGTGGATTTTCTCAGGGAACCATTTTTGATTTAGGTTAGGTTATCATATTGGTTTGGTAACTAATGATTGCGGATTTTATGGATAGAGCCTTCTAATTTAAAATCCGCAATTAGTTAGTTGCTAACCTAATAGATAGGTAGCACTTTCATATCACCTTAAGGTGAAGTGAAACACGTCGAGGAACTTGATCAACGGCGATAAAGAAGATTTTTCTAAATGCCTACGTTGCCGTCGTTGGTTTTTATATCGACAACTATACCGAATTATATTGGGTATTGTACCAAATGGCATACTCCACCTGTCGTTTTCGTACAATAATTATAAAGAAATCGAAGTAAACCTCCAGAAATCCTCTGGATTCATGCCTTCTGGGCCCTAATTGACTGCGGAGGGACCCCCTGCGCCATCTGTGATTTCCAAGTCAATTAAATTTTTACTCCGAGACCTCGTATTCCCATCGTTTTGGCATACAAGCGCATACAACACTTTTTTTGCCTTTATCCCGTTCAAATGCGAGTTTATCGATTACCAGAGTGTTCTAAATTGTCGTAAAATTGTCCTGACCCTTTCAATTCTCATATCAGAGCCTTCGATAATTGTATATCGATCGAAATATGAGGGCTCGACGCCATTTTGGTTCTGGTCTGAGCTGTTAAAAAATTATTTGAAAATTCCAAATTTTGAATGTGTCAGGACAATTCTTAGATGTGTCAAAGTTTCGGACAGTTTGTTCTAATACCCTTAAAAAAAAGTGTTGTATTCGAATCGACTGATTTGAATGGGGTTTCACTTCACCTTAAATGACTGCGTGTTTATTGAGTCGTTTCTTATTCACTATCCATATCGCTCGTTTTCAGGGACTTATATTTTCATACATATATTCTCTTTTCTGCCGCGAAAGACTCAGGATAAAGGAGTCGGAGGATAGGCAAAGCGAATGGAGAAAAAGAGAGCGTAAATCGCGAGCTTTAAAGTTACGGCGATCCCTCTTTACTGCCGATGAAAGCTCGCTTCCTTAAATCGGGAATTGCGGGGAAACAACCGGGAATTTTCACGGTGGAGTTGCTAAAAGTTGAAGTAATCCAACGTTCACGATAAACGGTTGAAGAAATACCGATAAAGTGAGACGAAACCCGACTTTAAAGTTCAGCATTTTGTTTGCACTATTTAAATAATTCAATCATTCGCCTTCAAATCACTAATCGAGGATTACTGAATTCCTGACTGAAGCTAATCGCCCGATTTCAGATGTTTAATAGCGAATTTTAATCTTCGGTTAGTATAATGCTTTTTAGTTCAACACAAATTTCACTAAACGCGGATTACATGTCGTAACTAAAGCTAATCGCTCGATTTTAGATGGCTAACTGAGGATTTTAACCTTCGATTAGTTTAATTTGTATCAATTCAACACGAATTTCATTAATCGAGGATTACTTAAGTCGTAACTAAAGCTAATCGCTTGATTTTAGATGGCTAACTGAGGATTTTAATCGCCGGTTAGTCTCATTTTTGTGAGTTCTGCCCGATTTCAGATGTTTAGTAGTGAATTTTAATCTTCGATTAGTACAATGCTTTTTAGTTCAACACGAATTTCACTAATCGAGGATTACTTAACTCGTAACTAAAGCTAATCGCCTGATTTCCGATACTTAACAGCGAATTTTAATAATCGATTAGTCTAATGTTCTTCAGTTGAACACGAATTTCCTTAATCGACGATTACTTAACTCGTAATTAAAGCTAATCACCCGATTTCTAAAACTTAACTGCGGATTTTAATCATCGATTAGTCTAACGTTTTTCAGTTCAACACGAATTTCCCTAATCGAGGATTACTTAACTCGTGACTAAAGCTAATCGTCCGATTTTAGATGGCTATCAACTGATTTAAATCGCCGGTTAGTAAAACTTCTTAGCACCTTTCATAACCTCTTAAGGCCTACAAGTAGTTTTTAAGCGGTACTAAATTTTCGTCATAGAAAGTAGCTTATCTAGACAAGTTTAATCTAGACAGAGAACTTTCGGTCTTTTTGCAGAGCAGCTTTGGACCGCCCCAGAACTATTGAGAATGGATCGACGACCACCAGAGGGCACGCAAAAAGGCGACGTTTACAGCTTCGCCATAATCATGCACGAGATCGAAATGCGCCAAGGACCTTTCTACTTGGGCGAGCGAAACGATCTCTCCCCTAAGGGTGAGTCCTGTTCCTTTCTCCCTTGCCTTGATATCGACATTTGAGAACCACCTTTCGTATCTCCCGGAAAACCTTAAGGTGATATGAAAGTGCTACCAGTATTCAACTTTTATTCCAATTGAGTGTACCGAATCGATTCAAACTTTGTAACTTGAATTTGGAGGCTATAAGGAAGGTTTCAATTCTCAGACAATTCAATTTTTTATTAAACAAAGCATGCAATTTTTATAAACAAACGAGAAGGTATGGAATTGGAGTTAGCAAATGTCTCCCCTAAGGGTGAGTCCTGTTCTTTTCTCCCTTGCCTTGATATCGACACTTGTGAACCACTTTTCGTATCTCCCGGAAAACCTTAAGGTGATATGAAAGTGCCACCTGAGGCGCAGTATTCAACTTTTATTCCAATTGAGTGTACCGAATCGATTCAAACTTTATAACTTAAATATGGAGGCTGTGAGGAAGGTTTTAGTTCTTAGATAATTCAATTTTTTATAAAAAGAAGGATGCAATTTCTATAAACAAACTAACAGGTATGGAATTTAAGTTAGCAAATGTCTCCCCTAAGGGTGAGTCCTGTTCTTTCCTCCCTTGCCTTGATATCGACATTTGAGAACCACCTTTCGTATCTCCCGGAAAACCTTAAGGTGATATGAAAGTGCCACCTGAGGGGTAGTATTCAGCTTTTATTCGAATTGAGTGTACCGAATCGATTCAAACTTCATAACTTGAATATAGAAGCTGTGAGGAAGGTCCCAATACTCCACAAATTTCATTTTTATTAAAATAAAGGTTGAAAATCTTATAAACAAAATTACAAGATTTTAAATTAGGGTTATCTCCCAAAAATTTCATTTTTATTCAAATGAACAGTGAAACTCTAATAAACAAATTAAAGGGTTTAAAACTGGAGTTATAGCCAGAAGATTTCATTTTTATTAAAATGAAGGGCGAAACTTATAAACAAATTAAAACGCTTGAAATTGAGGTTATCGCCAAGAAATTTCATTTTTATTAAAATGAAGGGTGCAACCCTTATAAAGAAATTTACAAGATTTGAAATTGGAGTTAACAAATGCGTTAAGGGCCTTTCTACTTCGTCTCTGCTTTGTATATCCAGCATTTAAAAGTACTTTCCTCGACAATGTATAATGCCGGACGCGTATCCGCCGCATTAGACTCGGTCGGTGATAAAATGCTATCAGGGGATGATCGCCTAGGCCGATACCATTTGCGGCTCTGATCCCCAACGAATGGGCCATCGAAGCGCGTGAATGCTTCAGAAATTCCTTTGAATTTTCTAAGGGTCTTCAGGAGGATCTTCAAGGGTGGAAAACCATCCGAAATTCGGCCCCCAAGGCGATGTTATAAAATTATAAATCAATACTTCCGTATTTTTTTTTTAATACTTAGCAAGAGCGATCTTCTGCTTACGCTGATAAATATGTAATGCAATAAAGTAAATATGTAAATATGTATGATAAATAAATAAATTTCATGTGTTTCAAGACCTACTTCAGCGCCTCCATGTTCCCGTGGCGAAATTTAAAACTAATCGGTACCTCCAATTCGGGGAATGCTTTCCCCAACGATTTGACTTCTAAATATGTAATAAAAATATAAAAATAAAATTTTTAATTCTTCTAAGTATAATAAACAAAACAGTGGAGAAGTGTCCACCCCACACTTTATAAGCAACTTTAATGGCCGCCACTTTAATGCCACTCGTGTGGTCCGTATTTCACACCTCCCTTCACCCCCTTAAAGAGTGCAAATTTATGTTAAATTGTGCCCCCCCAGGGGACGTGATGAAAAATTCCACGATGCAAGTGACATTTCTCGCCAAGTTGCAGACATTTTTTTTTCCATTTTTTAGGATGCAACCTTCTCCATGGATACGCGTTTTTATTCAAGCTATTTAGCGATTAAGTGAGACTAAACACGAGTTTAAAGTTTAGTATTTTATCTGCATGTTTTAAATAATGCCTACTGTGTCAACAATCGCGGTTAAATCACTAATCGAGGATTACTTAACTCGTAACTGAAGCTAATCGCCCGATTTCAGATGTTTAACTGTGGATTTTAATCTTCGATTTGTCTCATTTTTATCAGTTTTACATGTATTTCACTAATCGAGAGTTACTTAACTCGTAATTAAAGCTAATCGTCCGATTTGAGATGTTTAACAGCGGATTTTAATTTTCGATTAGTCTAATTTTTATCAGTTCAACGCGAATTTTACTAATCGGAGATTACTTAACTCGTAAATAAAGCTAATCGCCCTATTTTAGATGTTTAACTGCGGATTTTAATCTTCGATTAGTCTAATTTTTATCAGATCTACATGAATTTCACTAATCGAGAGTTACTTAACTCGTAACTAATGCTAATCGCCCGATTTCAGACGTTTAACTGCGAATACTAATCTTCGATTAGTCTACTTTTTATCAGTTCAATGCGAATTACACTAATGGAGAGTTACTTAACTCGTAACTGAAGCTAATCGACCGATTTCAAATGTTTAACAGCGGATTTTAATCTTCGATTAGTATAATTTTTATCATTTCAACATGTATTTTACTAATCGACCGTTACTTAACTCATAACTGAAGTTAATCGCCCGATTTCTGATGTTTAATTGTACGTATGTATGTATGTGCGTAATTGTATGTATGCAATTGTATGTATGTATGTAAAATGTTGTATGTATGTGTGTAAAATGTTGTATGTATGTATGTAAAATGTTGTATTTATCCCGGACAAGAACCAAAAAAAACGTTCTTTTTCCCACGTATCCTACAGTAATATACAGAGCTTAAGTTTGGGCGATGAAGTTTAGGAGAAACTGCCGTTGCGTCGTAAAGCTGCGTAATACGTTCCGCAAGCGGAGAAGCGACGCGGAAAGTGCGTACTGCGTGAAATTTACATCGCACGTGCGTGAAGTTGATAAAGAAAATTCTTTATTTCTCGACGGTAGTCGAGTGTTTCAAAAAATTCTTTATTTCGGCAGAAAAGCGTCCCAACAGCAAAATTTTCGATTTTTTCAAATTTGACTTTTATACCATTTTTCCAAAATATTTAATATTTAATAGGACGTTCCGCAAGCGGAGAGAACGCGACGCGGAAAGTGCGTACTGCGTGAAATTTACATCGCACGTGCGTGAAGTTGATAAAGAAAATTCTTTATTTCTCGACGGTAGTCGAGTGTTTCAAAAAATTCTTTATTTCGGCAGAAAAGCGTCCCAACAGCAAAATTTTCGATTTTTTCAAATTTGACTTTTATACCATTTTTCCAAAATATTTAATATTTAATAGGACGTTCCGCAAGCGGAGAGAACGCGACGCGGAAAGTGCGTACTGCGTGAAATTGACATCGCATGTGATTGAGGTTGATAAAAGAAATTGTTTACTGTTCGATGGTCGTCGAGTGTTTAAAAAAAAATAGCATTCCAGTTTTTCTCATTTAATTTGTTACAACTTTTTTTTTTTAAACACTCGACCACCGTTGTATACATTTGTTGATAGAATTTTTATAAGTTTGAAAATACATGGCTATTAAAATTTTATTGCGTGAAATTCAACAGCAAACAGGTGTATGAAAAATATTTATAAAAACTCTTCCACTTTTATTAAATGATATAAAAAATAAAGGAAGATGCATTTATTGAATTTCGATGTTAATTTATAATTTCATAACGTTGGTTTATGACTCATGTCGTAATTATAGGTCTTACCGACCTCGGTATCAAAGATCAGTAAATTGTTTATTGTAAAGGAACCTATAAGCGATAAAGCTTCTTTTATCGAAATTCGGCATTTGGCAGAACTGAACAACTGTCGGTAAAGCAGGTTTCGTTTGATTCTAACCTCGGAAGTTGCAAGTTCGATAACCTGAACTTCGAAGTGGTAAAAGCTCTTCGGCGCTCTTTTTTACCAGCCACATTCTATCAACAAATGATAAAAATTAAAACTGTTAATAAATGATAGTTTATTGCATTGCATTTATAAAAAGTGGAATTTCAAATGTGAACCATTTAATATTACAATTCGTGCAGATTTAATTAAATTCCAAGCTCTCAAGGTGTAAGCTCGACGTAAGCTCTGGAGACGGTAAAAGCTGTCCTGCGCACTTTTTTACCGACAGTTTCCAATCGATAGAATGCAAAATATAACCTATTTTGAACGTAAGTTCATAACCATATTCGTTAATAAAGAGAATATTAAAGATTAAATACAGTAGAGCTTACTTTGCATTTTACCTGTGAAGCTTAAATAGCGAAAGCTCGGTGAGGTAAACTCTGGTGATAAAAGCTGTCCTATGCTCCTTTTTACCGACAGTTTCCAATCGATAGAGTGCAAAATATAACCTATTATAAACTTGAGTTCATAGCCTTATGCGTTCATAAAATATTAAAGATTAAATACAGTAGAGCTTACTTTGCATTTTAGCTGTGAAGCTTAAATAGCGAAAGCTCGCCGCAAGCTCGATGAAGCAAACTCTGGTGATAAAAGCTGTCTTACGTTCTTTTTTACCGACAGTTTTCAATCGATAGAGTGCAAAATATAACCTATCATATACGTGAGTTCATAGTCTTATTCGTTCATAAAATATTAAAAATTAAATACAGTAGATCTTAGTTTTCATTTTACCTGTGAAGCTTAAATAGCGAAAGCTCGCCGCAAGCTCGATGAAGCAAACTCTTCTGGTAAAAGCTGTTCTGTGCTCTTTTTTACCGACAGTTTCCAATCGATAGAGTGCAAAAACCTCGACGCTTTCGGGAGTTCCGAGACGGGGATGAAAGCTCTCAGTCGAAGCTTTAACGCGACGGAGAACGCACGCAGTGCACGCGTGAAGTACGCGCGTGAAGTACACGTGAAGTTCTGTGATCCAAATGATGGAGTAGATCATTTGATCCACCGGTCGCAGGTCTCGACTTCGAAAGGGCCTTAATAGTCGTTTATAGTTCCGTGAAATAGGAAATATTAAATTGCGCATTATTCGC